CTTCTTTGCCAAATCGATCGGAGTAACCTTGAAACCGCCTGATAGCCTCCTCCCTGGGGAGATTGATGCCCTCCTCCCACTTGGTGAAGCCCCCACTTTTCGACCAACTGGCGAAGCCTGCCTATACCTCGATGGTACGACAATAGCTGCTTCTCTTGCTACCTTCCTATTCTCTTCTTGAGCCATCGCAAGGCTTGGAACAACACATTTCGAAGGGATAGGAGAGCTTGATCTCGCACCCATTCTGCCATTACCACTCATTGGTGATGGGTCTCGCCCTGCTTTCTCTCTCTTCCCTGCCGACATCGACCGTTTCTCTGGCCGGTTGCCCTCTCTGTTCTTAACAGCCGGTGACTGCCCGCTCTTTTCTGATTTTCCTGCAATATTTTCCTGCTTGATCTCCAACTTTCCAGCACTCTTTTCCTTGTTGATCTCTGATTTCCCGGTGATTAAGTTCTCCTGCGGAGAGAGAACAGATCGAGAAGCAGTCTTTGCTAATGGAGTTTCGGATTCAGGTTTGGTATCAGATGGTCTCTTACTAGAGAGATAAGCCAGAATTGGGTCCATTGATTGGTTTGGATCTGAGACTGGTTGGATTATGAAACCCCCATTTGAGAATCGAGCAATGAGGGGCTCGGGGCTCCCAACAAAGGGGTGTCGGCCGGAGATTGGCCGGATTCCTGCGACTCTCGGGACGGGAGAAGCAAACTCGAGCTTTTGGACATAGACAAATTGACCCAATTGGAGTTTGTTCGTGAGTATGAGTTCGACGTCATGATGAGAGAGAGAGACGAATGTGGAGTGAGAGGAGTCAGAGAGTTGGAGGAAGAAGCCTCGATTGGGCCATAGCTCGGTGCCTGCAAGGGCTGGCACAATGCTTATCACTTGGAGGAGGACAGAGCGGTGTTCTCCAGCAACCTTGGTGTCGGTGTTCATCGACTGGAGAAGCTTCAGAAGGATTCCTGGTGTGAGAGATGCCATCTCTCTCTCTATGTTTCTGGTTCTCGCTGAATTTTTCAGGGTAAAACGGAACCTACCCAACTCTCTCTCTGTCACTCTCGTGGTTAAAAAATGGAGGTTTTGAGATGAAAGAAAAGGAAGGTAGAATAGACTCACCCGTTAAGGGTTTTACCGTTACGCAAATTCAAATTTTGAATTCCCGCTCCGGGATTTGATCGATCGCGAACACATCATTTTCAGTTTTTCCCTAAAATGTCCACCATAAAATATGCTACTATCCATAAGGGAAAAGCTTATATAGAGCCTCAGGCTCTAAACAATCAAAGTAGAGCCGACCTCAAAAACTTCACTAAAATATGTTATTTTGTAACAAATTTTTGGGCCGTCATTTTTCAAGATTTTCAAGTTTTCATAGATCTATTGATCGACGCTATTTTTTAAGCTTTAAACTTTATAAATAAAAATGACAATATATTTTAAGTCTATTACAAAGATTTCCAATATTGAAACTACATTTCTCAACACTATTTGAAGGTGGGCTCTAATTTGATTCTTTAGAGCCTAAGATCTATACAATCTATAAACACATTCAAATCCTGAAAGTGGACAGCATATATAATGTATTCCATTTTTCACTATTTTTAGGACTTTAAATTTTTTTTATTTTTATTTCTTTTCATAGTCATACATGAAAAAAACGCCCTTTGCAATAGATATTTTAGGAGCACCATACCTTCATTTTAGGGTTGAAACCTTATATGAACTTATTCTTTTAGAAAACATTTTGGGGAAATTACCTAGAGCGCTGTTTGGATCCCTAGAAAATTATTGTAAAAAAAAATTTAATTCCTGTTAAATACATTTATTGCGAAAACTATTTTCTAGAATATAGATTTTGGTTGTCTGCGTTGGATGCACGTTGAAATTCCATAAAGTTCGATATAGTGGCCCCTCAAGTTGATTATTGTCAAGGAAAATTGCATCTAAATTAGTTATGAAAATACCATCAAGCAAAGCCCCAGTCAAGGTATATGAGACTAGGGATGGGAGATAGGTCCGGTCAATCCAACCAGGTCTAGGTCGAAAGCCAAACATGGACCTAATGGGCGGGGCCTGGATCCACTTGACCTATCTGGACAGGTCTAGGTATGGATTGGAACTTATCGGGTGGGGTCAACCCGACCTGACCCAGTATTTACAAATCTACTTATACCTAATATTAACTATATATAAATCATATAATATAAATTTTTATAATTTTTATTTCTATGCCTAGTCCAGGCCTAAGTTAAACCTTGCTAGGTCGGATCCGAGTTGAGGTCAGCCTGGACCCAACCTCTTTACAACGCTACTGGGGGGCAGGGGAGAGGAGCAAGAGAGAGAGTTCTGGTTTGGTGGTGTTTCAAATCATGATGGAAAATTGGTAAGGAAAGCGATTTTTTCGGTAAAGGCATGGAAATAGATTTTCAATTTTAGGCTCCAACTAGAGAAAATGATTTATCCAAAAAAAAAAAACAACTTTCTTCACAGATTTTATAATAATGGAATAGACAGATTCCCAAGAAAAATCATTCCAGGGTAATCTTTTCCCAAGAATTTTAATGACCCAAAAATCTATTTATTTTGGAATTAAAAGACACCTCCAGTACATTTAGTCATTAAACGATAAAACCTAGGCTTTGTGAAAACAAAACAAAACCTTACTTCAAATCTTCATGATGACTCTAAATTCAATTTTCAACACTGATAATAAATTTTGAAACTAAAAAAATAGTAAATATCTTGATCTTTGAACACTTATTTTTAAAGCAAAATAGACTGTCTACAATTTATTACAATATATACTGTTTTTAGAGTTTGAAATCTTAATTATTTTTCATGACCATAATATTCAAACTGAGATGATCCATGTAAAAGTTTTCCAATACTTAAATTACAACTTTCGATGAGTTATGAGGTGAAGCTTCACTTATTTTTATGGCGCTGCAGCCCCTATCAAACCATTTTCTTTCGTTAAATATATAAGGAACTATTTTTTAAAGCCAAAAAGTAATGGATTTTGATATTAATTTTCCCTTTTATGTTTTTACATGCAAGTATATTAAACCATATCATTATAATGAAGAGCATTACATGGACATTTTACGCAATAATAGATAAGATAGGCCATTCTTTAACTTTACAAATCCATGTGATGCTCCTGGTTATAATAACACTGTAAATTTGGGCTATCATCATAAAACGTTGGTGATGACCTCAAATATAATTCTTGGTCGTGGAATTGACAGAGACTTTAAGGAAAATATTGTAAAATGGACCATTATTAAGGCTTAAAATCTATTTTGTTTCTCAGGTCCATGATCAACGTTTCTAATGTCAAAAACAACATTTCCAGTAAAGATTTGAGGTGCAACTAAATGGGGATGAGGCATGTATAAGACTTTCTTATTGTACTAAAGAAATAAGGCGCACCTTTAAATTTTGCTCAAAGAGGTGTAGAAACTTTGCAAGGGCTGAGAAATCCAAGGTGAAGAAACTTTATAAGGGCTTAGAAATCCTTCTTTATGAACAATTATGAAATTTAAAAGTAAAAAAAATACAAATCCAGACAGATTTATAAATGACTAATGATCCCCTCCCCCACCCATATATGTAAGACCCTAAAAGATCATCATTAAAATTGACACGAATCTCACTAAAAATTATCACGTGTGGGACTAAAAAAAACAGCACTCTGAATAAACCTTTCCAACCAAATATTCTTAGAAAATATAGGAATAACCATCTCTTAAAAATTATTGCATATTTGCTCCAAAGAAAAAAATCTCGATGCAGAATTATTTTTTTTTTAAAAAAAAAAAAACAATAGAGAAAGAGGCCAATTACATAGGCCTTCTCTTTGAAGTCAAAAAGACCTAATATCCAGTCTCGTACAAGGAACTTCCCCATATCTACCAGATTTATATGGCAAAAAGAAGTAATAAATAACACAATATTAAACCCTTGAATAAATATCGAGCTTGAAGGGTTTTAATATTGAGTAATAAATAAGTAAATCCATGATTACTCCGAGCTCAGTTGTCGACAACCTCGATAAGAGTGGGCTCATAGTCATCGGGGGCGACGAAACCGTGAAAATTCATAAAAGTGGCAGCAACATTTGCAAGCCCAGCTTGAGGGAGATCACTTCGGAATCTTACTCCTTGTTTTAATCCAGGCCCTCCAATAGCGACAGGAACCTGCACAAGAACCTCACATATTGACAAAAGTAAACATATAGGGGAGCTGCTTTTAGAGGGTTTTCTTCTTCTAAATTATGAGACACTTCGTAGAGTGTTTCGAAAGATTGGCACCTCATGAGGATTATTAGCCCCAAAATGCTGGCCCAAATGGAAAAATAACATCCGAATTTTCGGAGTTTTATGATAGTTTCCCTTGACCAAGAGCACAATCTCAAAACATTACAATCTTCTTGGTCGTATAGGAAATAGAAGCAGGAAATTTGGCTCATTTGTGACAATCTAGAACATTAGAAACATTTTTCTCATTCAAGTAGTACCAATAGTAGTTTACAAGTAAGTTTCTCAAAAAAAAAATATTTTTTCCCAAAAATATATTAGTTTACTAGTAAGGGTCAGGGTTTTGTAAGGCTGCTTGTGTATACAGCACGGCCCAAATCTCTGGGGAAGACAAGCTCCGGAACAAGAAAACAGCATGATGGACCGAAAATCCACTTCCGCCCGACTATTGAATATGGAGCTCCAAAATTTGCTGGGGTCGTCTCGTTATGAACTGTCCCAAAAAATGTTACAAAATGGACCTTCCTAGGCTTGAAATCAACAACTTTTTTTTCATTTCTATTTCGCTGTGTGGAGATGAAGGATTTGCAGGTTTTCTAGTGCTAGGACTAGCTTTTCGGTGAGATTTAGGCCGTGGCTATATTCCTTTCCTACTAGCATATTAATGAGGGTAGCATATTTTTTACTCACAGGTTGGAGAGTGTGAGAAGTAAGGATCTGAATGTTGCCAGCTTTATCTAGTTGAGGTTTGCCTTTCTTGTCCCTCTTCACCATATCCTCTGCATTCCCATGATCAGCAGTAACAAGGTAGATTCCACCCACTTTCTCCACCGCATCAAGTATCATCTGCCGCATATCAGTAGAGCACATCAGGGTAATGATAGATAGGTTTGGCTTCTTAAGGTAAACAACAAGGAGAACATATCATAAAGAAAAAGATGAAAAAAGAAAAACAGACATATAGATGTCCTCATCTCAAGACTGACTTGGTAACGTGATCAATAAGACTTGTCTAGTAGAACACATGCGCTCCATCAAACACTTTTTAGAATTAGTAGGCAACAGTGCATCAAATTCTAAATGCAGTTACAGGTTCCAGTATCAAAAAGAAAAAAGCAAATGCCTTAAACAGAGAAATTGGAAATGGGAAAAAGTCAAATATGGATAGATCACCCGAGAGAAAGGAGAAAATAACTATAGGTCAGTAGAAATAGTAAAACCCCTGCATATGAAAAAATTACCTTCACAGCTTCATCAGCAGCCTCACAGCCAACAACCGTTGCCTCAATATCACCCGTGTGTCCCACCATATCACTATTTGGAAGGTTGACACGGACCTTAAATTAGGAAGAAAAAGATTATTACTAAGCAAACCAATTAAAAAAAAGATGCATGCACCTCCATGCGTGTGCACACAGGTGTCTATCTGGTGTGTGTGTCTATTTACAAGGAAAGTATTCAATAAGACCATTTATTTTTGACACCAGGTGGTAACAATTACCCTTAGCCATTGCATGAGAAATCAAGCAGCCAAGGGTGTCCCTCTGACTGGGCGGCTTAAAGTTCCAAAATATTTTTTTTTCAAATTTTGTGACACACCCCATGCCGTTAGATTTCTCATCAAAAGGCTAAGAGTGTTTGTAGCCTTCTCGCACCAAATGTAAATGGTATTATCGTATACAATCTTATATATATATATATATATGAGCCGACTGGCCTATAGAACAGTATGGGCTGGACAGGATTGAAGGAAAAGGGAAGATCTGGACGGCTCAGAATGGTTGATGCATTTCACCCACATTTTTGTGCATATACGGCTACTTTTTTATTTTAGGAACACCTAAATCAGTCCAACATGTGTACAAAATTTGGGCATTGTCAGATCCATATTTTTTCCAAAAGAAATTCTTAGAAAAAAATATCAGATCTGTTTTGCAAATATACTACCTCGAATCCAGTGACAGTCTAATAAGATACAAAAGGAAAAAAAAAAGAGACGAATTTCTTTACAAGGAAAATATTTCAACGAACATCAACCATCAACTCCAGATGTAAGCCTTGAAGAACTCAAAATCATTTTCTTTTAAATTGTTCATCTGGCGATGGTGAGGATAACAACATCTACAAAATTTAGGTCAGAACTAATCCCCAAATGCATTAATTAAACACCATGTATTCACTGCATTTTCGTTTAAAAAATGGAAAACATATTTTCATATCAAGTTTGACTCTTACTGTTGAACTATCCATATATATATATATATATATATATATATATATATATATAGGTGTGGTTTGTATAGAGCTGAAACCCTAAACAATCAAAGTAAAACTCACCTTCAAATAATGTTAAGAAATGTGGTTTCAATAGTAGAAATTTCTGTGATAGCCTTAAAATATATTTTTATATTTAATTATAAAATTTAAAGCTTTAAAAAAAGTGTAGATTGAACCGATCTAGAAAAACCTGAAAATCTTGAAAATTGACGGTCCAAAAATACATTACAAAATATACTATTTCAAAACTTGAAATCCATTTTTTTTCATGTCCATGTATCTTGACATCAAGATGATCAATTTCATTGTTTGTATATAACATATTAAATTTACACACACACACATATATATATATTTATGGAAGAGTCTGAAGTTATCCCACGAGCTGGCAACTACAATATAAGCCCAATGGTCCAGATTGAATCTGAACTGATATAATGATCACGATTGCATTTAATATTTAAATATTAATTTTTTCTACAAATCCAAATCACTTGAAATTTGGAACATCTATTCTTAAAATATAGGTGAATCTAATAATATTAAAAAAATTATTCCCAAAAATTAAATTGATCAAAATACCCCTAAAAATTTTCAAAGGTAGTTTGGTCAATTTAATTTTTGCAAATAACTTTTTCAATATTTTTATTAAGTGCGCATTGATAAGAAGAGTGGACGCTCCAAATTTCATGTAATTTGGATTTGTAGACAAAAATTTAAAATTCAAATTTAAAATCCTGTCGTGTCCGTTAGTTCAGCCCGGATGCAATCTGGACCGTTGGGCTTACACTATTCCATTAGCCCATGTACTAATGAGATATATATATATATATATATATATATATATATAGAGAGAGAGAGAGCATAATAAGCAAGCCAATTGACACACACTTGAAGTTTGCAGTAAAATCAGTAAAAGATTTCAGGTTCACGCATTCGAGTTATTATTTTTTAACGAATAAGTGCTTTTGACTAGAAACACTTGCTTTAAAATAAATTTTTATCTATTGGACAAGGTGCTCACCACTCTTGTAACGTAATGTCTCAAATGAATCGTGGCCATCCCATTTCTTAATGTGTCTAAAGTTGAATGACCTCGTGTACTTCAGTGAAGCACTGCCAATACTTTTTCTTATTATTTTTGTCTACTTCACCCAATACTCCCCATTTAGTAGCACAAGTCACTGTAATTAATGTTTCCCTATCATAGATCGAGAAGAGGAATATCCCAGTAAGGCACCCTGAATCTCCATTGCGGAACACCTGGAATGGATGGTGGATGCCCCAACGGTGACATACTGGTTGCACCCCTATTGTAATTCAATACCTCGGAATGCTGGCTTATCATGTTTTTCGATATACTTAAATTCAATTGGCATCATACTTCTTGTAAAAAAAAAATTTGGTTCTTTTTGATAATTCACTAATCTGATACTACCTTCCCATTTAGCCGCATGAGTGGGTTTAATTCATGATCTCCTATCTAGTTCCAGTAGATGAATATACGGTTAAACTCGACAATGGAACATTGGGAGCAGATGGCGGATGCTCCCTTGGTGGACGGCATATCATTTTCTTGTGGGTTATGACACACTTTCCCAAATCTTAATCCATCTACAACACAGATCCCTGATTTTACCTGATCAAATTTGCCGCTAAGGATGGCATCTCTTGCCTTCTCTGCAATCTCCAATGCCTTCATCTTTGGTTGGACATTGAATGTGATTCCACTATCACTTGGAATCTCCACATATTCCTCCAATTTCGGGTTAAAACACCCAGAACGATTCCCATTCCAGAAAAAGGTGACGTGCCCAAACTTCACAGTCTCACTGTTCAATAAACATGAGAAAGCGTCAGGAAGACATTTAAAAGAAAATCAAAGAAATAAGTGACAGCAGTTTTCTAAATCAACGTGCATAAAAGAATCAAAATTCCATTCAGACAAAAAGAAAATTCCATTCAAACAAAAAGAATCAAAATTCCATTTAGACAAAACGAATCAAAATTCCATTCAGACAAAAAGAAAAATAAGGAAAAAAAATAACGAGTCTCATTAACCTGAGCTTTTACAATATTGTCCCGAACTCACAAAAAGACCCAGACTCCAGAGAAATACACAGATATGGAAGGGCTCAAGGTTTATAATATTTTGATTCAGGACAGGGTACCCCCCAAGTAGCTAATATCACCTGAGCAGCTGCATTGCTATGGGAGAAGTACAGTATAGTAGTCGTTTTTTTACTAAATATTCACTTAAAAAATAAGTAGTTCCTGAGAATACATGACCTGTAGGGGTTTGGATACGTAACCAAGTGATGTTGAAGCTATTTGTCTTGACCCTTGTTTGTGGGTTTCCATACATACAATTAAGAGAAAGAAAAGAACTAAACACAAAGGAATTTCTACTTGATAAATAAACATACATACGTAAACACATGTATAAGCATTTCTTAGCACGCCCTGTTTTTGTTGTATAATTTTAGCTGATATCGAAATTTCCGTTAAATACAGACAGCAGAAAATCTCACATATTCATTAATTCAAAAAAATTTCTCACACATTCTAAAGCTGAGTGAGGTTTTCTTAAAATAGAGCACTTTCTTCTGTTCCTTGCACTGAAGGAGTCAAGTTCAAGACTTATTTCCTAAAAAATTGTTGATTTGGGAGTCTTCTGGATTTGGCATCCTCTTGTAAATTTCCAATCTTTTAAATTATTCTTTCCAAAAAATTTAATCGATTATTATTTTTTATCTACAAGAACCAGTACCTTTGGTTCTTTCTGAATTTCTACTGCCATTTTCCTTTGGTTTTCTCGTAAAATGTATGTTAACAGTAAAAACTCTGTCCAATGTTCGCATCACCAAACTTTAGTGCAACCTATAAAAAAAAGAACCAACACAAACCACACAAACTCCCCCCCACAACAAAAACCACCCAACAGGGGCCCAAACTCGCCTCTTCTTTTCTATTTTGAATGTTGAACCAACTGAATTTTGGTATTACAAACAAAAAATGTCGTTTAAGCAATGCTTGCTCACCTGCACGCAAAAGTGCGAATGCCATTGTGGACTAAATATTCACCAGATGTTCTCTCTATTTCCGGAGGCGAAACCAGGTACTGACTAGGAAGCATTAGTTCACCATCATACTGGAGCATTCCGGCATATCGGATCTTTGGGAAGCGAACCCTATCGAACTTGTCGAAATCTTCATATTCCAAGGCTTTGGCAAGCATAACCATACGATCAGCTCGGAAGTTGAAGGTGACAACAGCATCCCCATCCATAGTTGGGCCCACTGGCTTTCCACTCTCATCTACTATAACAAATGGAGGAAGGTACTGGTCAGAGACCTTTAGGTCCTCCCGGAGCTTCTTCACAGCCTCCAAGGCACTACGGAACTTGTAAGGTGCTTCACCGAGGACATGGGCATACCATCCTCTTTTAACCACGTCCCAGTCATTCTGCCAAGAAACTTTAATCAGAACTAGGTCATAGAAATACGTAAGGAGACCCTATATATTAAGCCTTTATTTGAACAAGTCACTGTGATATTTAGTTGCACAAAAGAACACATGATATTCTTTATTGTAAATAAGAGAACCCCAAATGTTCTCCATAAAAATGAGTACAACTTTCCAGATTTAATTCCCACATTTGCAGCATATAAGATTTTACTTTCTTTATACTTTTTCTTAAGTAAATGAGCTGAGGTGACGCTATGTTGAACTCAGATAGTATATATCAAGATGTGCTAGGATAAGTACCTACAAAGGACATATACATCAAATAGAAGTTTTTAAGGAAGAGGAGAAAAGGAAGAAGGATTGCGAGTGAAGAGGGAAGGGAAGGGAAGGGGTAGAGAGGGGATAGGGATGTATTTCCTTTTCATTACTGCATAAAATTCACTCATGAGATGTAGGCCTCTCACAACGGAAGCCATCAAATCCTACAAAATAATATTAAAAGAACTTTTACAATAACGCAGACGTTGTAAAACTGAATAAGCACTTGTCCATTTCAACCAGCTTGTGCATCTGACCAAAACAGTCCAGAGAGGATTTTGTAAAATCAAATTCAAAATCTATAACAAGCCATAAGAACAACATCCTAGCTTACCTGCTATGTTTTTTTTTTTTGAGTAATCCTAGCTTACCTGCTATTAAATGTACCTGTTAAGCACTTAAGGCCACCCACCTCGATAGAGTGGATCTTTCCTCCATTTCGAGCATTATCAGTAGGTGGAATGGCCTATTATAATGTCTTAAAATCTACAGAACCTCAAAAAGGCACAGCCTAAAATGGGATATCCAAAAGGCCTTAAGCCAGTATAAGGGCCCATTTAGATCCTTTTAGATTTATTTCATAAGAAACATTTCCCAGAAATGATGCATATCACCTATTTGGCACGATAAATACCAAGCAACACTGAAAAAGTTTCTCCCCGAGCAGCCCCAAAGTCCCCCATTCTATGGAAATCAACCTTCCATCTTTCAGCTGGAGTACATTTTCTCAGGAAATAAAACTTCTCAGCAACCACCCAAATAGAGACAAGACCAAAAGTTTCATCCAAAATTTCACTGGTTTTCACCATTTCCTCCATTTCTCTGCCTAAACTTTTGTTACTCACAAGCGAATTTCTCACTCTGAAATGAATATCGCTCTCTATGAATGAGTTTCTCTCTTAACATGAGCCTCTCTCAAATGAGTTTCTCTATATAAAATGAGCTCACCTCTCCAAAACAAGCCCCCTGAACCCTACTCCATACCCTGAGCCATGGCTGCAATCTGAGAAAACTGAGACAAACCAACCAGAACTGTTGACGCTTGCAAATTCACCTGATTCGCCTGTAAATCTGAGAGATGTATTGAAGGAGCTCCGAACACAGAAGTTTGGAAAGAGAAGTTGGGGAGCTCAGACAGATCTGATGAGAGAGGGGAGATGGTCTAGTTTTGTTCTGATTGCCTCACATTTTCCTTTGAAGCTCTAAACTTGAGGGACTTCTAGAGAGAGAAAACGGAGAATGTTTCGGGAGATTTGGAGATCATTCTCCTAGTCCATTTTGTAACTGTCTTCACAGAAGGTTTCAACTTTCACATGCCTTCCATTTATGAAAATAGAGAGTTTACAAAGGATGTATTGGTTGAGGCTTGTGGGAGCTTGTGTTTCAAGAGAAAGCGAGGTGGGGTTTCAAGAGAGAGCAGCACTATTCTGTTTTGAGAGAGGGAGAGAGGTCGGCTTCTCCTTAGAGGGTCATCTGTTCAGAGCGAAAATTGGGCTTCTGTTGGGGGAGAGAGAGACTTGGGCTTCTGTTCTAGGCTTCTAGCCATCCTCTGTTTCTTCCTACTCTGCTTGGCTGCAGCCTTTTTTGAACTCTCGTTCCAACTTTTTCTCGCTAAATAGGCAAGGGCAGCCATCAATTGATGCATACAAATTTCACCAGATTTGGGGTCCAGTGTTTTCTTGTGCTTGGCTTGGGGAATTGTTCACATTGTATTGAGGATCAGGAACTTTTTTTTATGGTTTTTTTTTTTTGTGGCTTTTTTACTCCTTTTTTTGTGGGGGGGGGGGGGGCCTGTAAGTTTATGGCAATAAACCTAAAAAAGTTTATCGCAATAAACCTAAAAAAGAAAAAGAGAAGGGAGGATTTTTTTTCCTTAAGAGTAGGTCAGGAATGCAAGTCTATAAAAATTTTCCAGGAAATAAATTTCTATTTGAGCCAGTTAAATGTTTTCTAGGGTTCCATCCAGAATGCTCAACAAGGATATACACAAATCAAGAATTTGAATCTTCCAACAATTTATTTTCACAGTAGAAAACATTTTCAGGAAATTTATTTCCATGGGAGCCAAACAGGCCCTAAAACCCAGAAATACAAAGAGAACATCATAAACCCAAGTAGCCATCACAAAAGGGCATACGCACCTCATAACGATCCATGGTAACATACATCCGGCCCCCACCAGAGGCGATCTGTGCATCTACGCCCTTCTCTCGTAGCTTTGCAAGGTCATTCTCAAGAGTCTCCACAAAGCCCACACTTGACCCATCCAATACATCACGCCCATCAGTCAATATGTGCACACGTATTCTCTTAGCGCCATGCTCACTGGCACCTTTAAGCAATAACTGCAAAATTTACATATAATCAGAACCACTGCATTTCTTTTTTTCTTTTATTGATTAGAAAACTGCACTTTTCTTCATCATGGTTATAATTAGCACCATTTCCATAATTAAAAAGCACCACATGTCATGAAAATTGGACCAGACAGTGAAAATACATTTATTGCAGTTTAAAGTTACAACACAACCCACTTGAAGACCTGGACTAGTTCAAATGGAAGGTCCAATTGGATGTTGAAGCACTGGCCAAAATTCAAATGATCAGCATGTTTTTTTGCAATATACCTGCAACTGATCTAGTCGAGAATGAACACCACCATCACTCAGTAACCCAATAAGATGCAAGGTGCCCTTGTCAAAGCATTCCTTGATGTACTTGAACCCTTCTCCTTCATATATTTTCCCAGATGCAAGCGCAAAGTCCACCAATTTAGCACTGCATAAACAAATATAGCATTACAACCGCAAAATTAGCTCTATGCATCACTAATCATAGAAGGCTGATGGCTAATTACACAAAAACAACATCACATAAAAGTCTATTTCAAGAAAAAAAGGGAAAAGTATATACAACCTGAGAGAGGTAAGAAATGGTTGTCGCATAGATAAACTTACCCTTGGGCATATATCCGTCCGGCACCAAGAGCATTGTGACCAACTTCACTGTTACCCATGTCATCTTCTGTAGGAAGCCCTACAGCAGTACCATGAGCCCTTACCAATCTCCATTTCTCAGGCAGACCCTTCAGAACAAGAATTCCATCAAATTTCAGTGACCAGTACTATAATGAATTTAAAAACATATATGTTTGCAGAAGGAACAAGAATTCCACCAAATTTCAGTGGCCATTACTATAATGAATTTAAAAACATATATGTTTGTACAAGGATGGATGATATAGACTAGGTGAAATCTCCATAATTAATTCTTATACAAAGAAATGAAATAACATTCAGATGCCTCAACTATAATCACTCATATGTACTGAATTTTATGAGAGCAGACAGACAGGCGACAGTTAAAGAAACTAGCAATAACTAAATTTACGAGATCATACATACTGTTGTAAAGCACAATCACAATTCTTTGTGATTAGGCATTTGCCATTCAAAAAATATTTGTAACAAACAAACTGAAAGCTTCAAATTCTTGCAAGGTCAAATCATGGAATCCAGGTTGAAAAATATATGAGATCAAAAATTCTGAAATGGGGCCAAAATGCAAAAGACAGAATCCACAGATAAAAGCCTTGACGCAAGCATAATCCAAATAATGATGGAATAGAAATAAGAATCACATAGAAAAGCATGTCTGTTCAAACCCGAGAAGCTAATGAAAGGGCTAAAAAGATCATTGCAATTCTAGAAACCAGTGAAAATAAAGAGACAGAAAAACTTGGATAAGAAAATAGGATGGCATCTTTAATCACCGAATTTCGTGAGATATGAAATGCAAGCTGATTGTCTGAAACCCAATCCCAATTTCATCTTTAATTACTAGTACGTAAGGATGGTATTGGTTATCCAATTCGATATTTTGATATCACAATCTCTCTATTGTGTAGTTCTTTGTTGTCACAGACACGCACATTGGCTAATGAGATATGACATATAAACAGTGAAACACACATACAAGATCTATCTACATTAGGTAGTTCTTTGTGGTCATAAACGAGCACATTGGCTCGTGAGATATAAACATTAAGACAGATTGCTCTTGAACATACACAATGAACCCATATCCCCAAAGTAATTTCTAAATCCCAGAACGTAGGATGGTCCATGATTGGAAATTGACTGATCCTCAAGGGATACATCTACAATAAATGTATTTCAAAGTTCAAACCCCGTAATAAGACCATTAACATGTGCAAGAGCAATACAGCATTCTAGTGATACATCCAGTCCATGAAAACATTGTACCTTTTTAATATACAATATATTCTTTTCCTCGAAAGGCCTTAATTCAGTTTGATTGGCATGTACATAAAAGTCAACCGGATACTGGTTCCATACAAGATACATTTATCAAAACAGTGCTCAACCATAAAACTTAAAAGAAAACAATAACAACGAACAAAAAGGGAGAGGGAGAAGGCATGTTAAAATCACCGGATTCATTACTTGACCTGAATAATCATCCATGAAGTCAATCGACCATCTAATGCGAACAATTTTAACTTGAACACTCAAACTAGAACCAAAAATAAATAACAAGAAACTAGTTTGTATGGATCCAAAAAGCTAAAGAACCAACACGCAAACAATAGCTAGCTTGTCTGCAACATTATAAGTAACATAAAAAAGGGAACAAACAACTATCAAGATCTATATTACTTCTTTAAGAGAATCCATAGTAGGTGTCTTTGCAACATAAATGCAATTATATTTGTCAGGATTGGCTTCGCCCCAGCCATCTAAAACAACAACAGCTACAGTTTTGCCCTTTGGGAGCTTCGGGTGATCAGCCAATTTCCATGAGAACCCAGCACTATCCATTCTTCAAAAATCTACACAAAAACAATCCAATCAAATAAATCAAAACACTTCAAACAAATAGAATTAAGAAAACAAGAGTATACATATTTCTACTGATATTGAATAAAACATCCAAACAAATTGAAATTTTCATCGATTCCAAATCAATAAAAATAATCAAATCAAATAATTCCAAAAAAAGAAAACGAGGAATAGGAGATCCAATTTAGCATACCCATTTCAAAAAATCTGGAAAAAAAAAAAAATTTCTTAAAATCTTCGTCCGTTCCTACCCAAAAAATTTTGAAAAAATAATAATCAGAATATAAGGAGGAGGTTAAGAAGATGCTAAGAAATCTAGAGAGAGAGACCTACCAAGCAAGAAAAGAAGAGGCACAGATATGGCGGATTGTAGATCGATAGAGAGGGCGAGAACGAGTAGAAGAAAAGCGTAGTTATACAAGCGAAAAGAAGTTTGCTCTCCCCGCCTGTTTAAAGTTAGGGCAAAAACGATGGCAAGAACCAGGCTTAAAAGTTGATAGTTGAAATTTGATTGTTGGGAGTTGATATCACCGCCCCAAAAATATAAAAATATTATTTTTTGTAATTATGTTTTTTTTCAATATTTTTTATAGTATCACCCGTGATATAAATATAACTTATTTTTAAAAAATTTATCGGAAATTATATAAAAAAAAGAAATTCCCATTTATTTTTGCTATATCACGTTTGAGTCACAATGTTATATTTTGGGTGTGGTTTCTATTGTTGCAATCTTATACAATCCAATTAAGGTGCATGTAATTTTGATGTAAAACATTATTAGAATTATCTCAAAATCTAGTTTTATATTTAATTATAAATTTTAAATTTCAAAAATAGATCTATAAACATATGAAAATATTGAAAATGAACGGTTTAGATAGTGTATTGCAAGATGCACTAATTTTATGACTCATAATCTTTTTTCTTATTCATATTCATACCTCTCGATGTTGAGACGATCATTTAGACGGTCTTTCAACATTAAAACAACATTCTTCAATGGATTTTGAGGTGCATTTGTAATTCCACATTTTTAAGTTTTTTTTTATTTTAGGGATTGAATACTATTAAGGCCCTTTATTTTTTAATGAGAATATCGAAGGCATCTCTAGCTATGATATCATATAATTCAATAAATCGTCCCTAGACTTTGAACCTGGTCATTGAGACATCCCCAACCACTTAATTTTAAATCTAAAGATAGTGATTTTATATTAATTATAAATAAACTCATTGTTTATCGTCTTTATTTTTAATTCCCCAACTTACATTGGGGGAACGTTTTTTAGCCAAATAATGGACATTGAATCCTATAATAGTTGTCCCAATTGAAGGTAATTTGAAAAAAATCTAAAAAATATTAAATCGATGTTAGGCCAGTTTAGCATAAAATATAAATTATAAATTATTATAAAATGAAAATTTGAGTAAAATTTCCTTTGATTTTTTATGAGAACCTCACTATATTTTTTTTTACCCATTGTTGGTTTGATAAAAACCTTTTTCCATTATTGTTTACAATTTCAAAAAAATAAAGAAAGAAAGAAAATAAACTTTTTAAATTTTTTCTTTTTCTTTTTTTTTTGCCAAAATTCATTTTTTAAAAAAACAGAGAAGTCCCTGGAAGACGGCATGGAAACGCATAATCACAAGAGTACCTGACCTTTTTTGCCTAGTTGACAAATGTATCCTCAGCTTAAACCAAAATGACACATTTAATTCTTACTTGGTTTTTGGTAGCATATTCTCGGGCTTTCATTTTTTTCTTTTTTTAGTAGTATTTGGGGATGGTTTATAGAGAGGTTTTTTATGTTTTGAACATAGATATCACAATCTTTATTGTCTCTTAAATTTGAAAATAGGTGGTTGTAATAGTACCATTGAATTGATAAAGTTTCAAAAAATAAATTTTTGGATTTCAGACTTCGTGACTAACCCTAAACCATCCAATTTAACATCTAATAAACAAAAATGAATGTGACCTCCATCTACAAAAGATAAATAATCTCTTTGTAGACAATCTAAAAACAATATCTAACATCTGCAACCGCCTAATTAATATTTCATTCCTCTATTATATATGTACATTAATTTTTCATTCCTCTGTTATATATGTACAGGTAGAATACATTTGCTGGTCATTTTTTTCATGTCTAAGCTATTTGAAAAACATGGTGTAGTATGAAAATTTATATCTAGTGTACCCCATTAATACAACTGCTAGAGGCTACGTGTGACATTTTTTTGCCCATTTTGGTCACGTGAAAGCTTCATGAGGAACATGGTATCAATCCATCTGCTATTGTTCCAAGTGATCTAGGTCATCGAAATGGCGGAGTCTGAAACTACCGGAATGACAATCTAAAATTCGAAGAGCGCCGCAGTTCTTGAAGTTTTGGCAATAACTGAGCCTAGGCCATTTGATTACTTTCCTTGAAATTTAGGATAATTATTTCTTTTTTTTCATTTTATCATCATTATCCCAATTTAATCCCAATTTTTTGGGGTCAACTATTTGCTTTTCTTCCTTTAATAGCCTGCTATTAAGTAAAAAAAATATATTACACAATCATCACTTTGTTTCTCAATTATTATGTGAATTACAATAACTCATGAAAATTAATGGCCACTCATGGCTCCTTTTGTCATCATCATGAGGTATAAGGCCTTTGTATATATAGAAAATTTGTGAAACTTTGTCATGCTTGTTTATTATTTTTACTTTTTATGTGGTTTTCATTTAAAACCTCAATTTATGAGTCATATGAGGCTAAAAAAAACAAAGGGATGGTGCACGTCACGGGCGTGGCATTAATATGTAAAGAGCACAATGGGGCGCACGCGTGAAAGGGAGAGCATAGGATAATGGTGTGTGAGAGAGATTCATGGATATGGTAAAATAAAGAGAGATATATCACGTTACAAGAGTCTTTTCGGAAACATCTGATAAAATTAGAACAATACAAATAATATTAGCATAGCCCATGTCCAAGGATGACACGCTCAAATCAAGAAATGGTCCAAATATCATGTTACAAGACTAAAATTTATTATTTAGACAGATAAAGAGACTAAAATTTATTATTTAGACAGATAAAGAGAGAGGATATGGCATGAAGTTTCAACTAGAGTATGGGTTGTAAACATAAGGGCACTTTGAAAAAGTAAAGTTGTATCACAAAATGCAATTCCAGCGTGACAAAGCTTGAAAATCTATTTATGCCTTGATCATGAAATTTGAATCATTTCAAAATAAACGATCTATAGAAAGGTCCAAATAGTGCGTTATATGATACATTTGTTTCTAAGTTTAAAATATTTTTCTTTTCAAATTCATAATTGTTGAGGTTGAGATAATCAATTTCGGATATATCCACAGTTTAGAACGAACTTTTTCATGCAAAAATTCACATTGGAGATCTCTAAACACTTCAAAATAAACAATCTATATAATGATCTAACTAATATGTTACAATGTTCATCGTTTTTTAATCATAATTTTGTTTCTTTTCAACTTTATAATCGTTGAGGTTGAGATAATCGATTACAGGGCTTTCTAGAGTTTGGAATAACGTTTTCGAGCAAAATTTCACTTGCGAGATCACTAAACACTTCAAAATAAACAATCTATATAACAGTCCAAATAGTGCGTTACAAGATTCACTATTGTTTTAAGTATAAAATCTTGTTCTTTCCAAACCTATAGAGGCTGAGATAATCAATTTCAGGTCTCTTCAAAGCTTGGAACAAATTTTTTCAAGCTAAAATCCCAAACAGACCACATGACTAGTTCCATCTAGCTCCAAGGAGGAGAATAAAAAGCAAAAAAAAAACAAAAAAACTCAAATTATTGGTCTTACTTGAGATTGAGACCTCATGGTTGAGTTTGTAATGAGGGCACTTGTCCTTTTGAAATATAATGAGGGCAATGGAGTCATTGGGGGAGGTAGTTTCAACTTCGTTGCGTAGGGAGTGTTAGTTGGCGAAATCCCAAAAATGCCACCAGAATATTCCCGGAATATCCAAATATTATTTTAGAGAGAGAGAGAGAGATTCCTTTACTTGTTTGAGAATAGGGCAAAACAAGGTCCATCGAAGAATGAAAATCAAAGTAAAAGGATCAAGAATTCAGAGTCTTTAAAACACGGTCAAGAATAAAATTTAATTTTAGTCCGATAGTATGTGGGCTCGAAGTGAATAATTTATTTTTTTCTATTTTTCGAATATGGTAGGGATTTTTATTTTTCTCTCTAATAAACATCATTTTATGGGTCATTGTTTCATTCTTTCCCTTGATAGTTATTATAAATAGTCCCCCCAAGATCACTTCAATGAGCAAATCATCAGATAAAGTATAAAATATCAAACTCAATTGTTTTATTTTTTATTCACCATTCCCAAAATTTATGATCTATTTCTCTTTTAGGGGAATCCTCATAGGTAAATTTATGATTTAATTGTTGTTTTGGGGTATTTTCATCAATATTTTTCATGTCAAATATTTTTTTTATAATTTTCAAAGATTCTTCTATTTTGAGATGAATACACTCTCCAAATTTCAGGTTATTCTGATTTGTAGAAAAAAAATAAAAAATAAAAAACTACCGAACAATCGTGACCGTACGATAAAATTTGGAATAATAGAATTAGTCGGTAGGGAGGCAAGGCACACAGGGGATAGG